ATTTGTATCCGATCAGGATATAATGTACCATTTAGTAATCAGCGAACCCAGAAGCTACTTTCCTGATTCAAAACACTGTCTAAATATCGTTTTTTAATTTTTCGAATTTTTTCCTAGGGGTACCCCTGCAAAATTGTGCGTTTTCCCAATTTTCCCACTTTTGCTCCTTCGGATGGCCATAGCTCTGCCAATTTGTATCCGATCAGGATATAATGTACCATTTAGTAATCAGCGAACCCAGAAGCTACTTTCCTGATTCAAAACACTGTCTATCGTTTTTTAATTTTTCGAATTTTTTCCTAGGGGTACCCCTGCAAAATTTTGCGTTTAAACAATTTTTCCACTTTTGCTCCTTCGGATGGCCATAGCTCTGCCAATTTGTATCCGATCAGGATGTAATGTACCATTTAGCAATCAGCGAACCCAGAAGCTACTTTCATGATTCAAAACATTGTCTAAATATCGTTTTTTAATTTTTCGAATTTTTTCCTAGGGGTACCCCTGCAAAATTGTGCGTTTTCCCAATTTTCCCACTTTTGCTCCTTCGGATGGCCATATCTCTGCCAATTTGTAACCGATCAGGATGTAATGTACCATTTAGTAATCAGCAAACCCATAAGCTACTTTCCTGATTCAAAACACTGCCTAAATATCGTTTTTTAATTTTTCGAATTTTTTCCTAGGGGTACCCCTGCAAAATTGTGCGTTTTCCTAGGGGTACCCCTGCAAAATTTTGCGTTTAAACAATTTTTCCACTTTTGCTCCTTCGGATGGCCATAGCTCTGCCAATTTGTATCCGATCAGGATATAATGTACCATTTAGTAATCAGCGAACCCAGAAGCTACTTTCCTGATTCAAAACACTGCCAAAATATCGTTTTTTAATTTTTCGAATTTTTTCCTAGAGGTACCCCTGCAAAATTGTGCGTTTTCCCAGTTTTCCCCACTTTTGCTCCTTCGGATGGCCATAGCTCTGCCAATTTGTATCCGATCAGGATGTAATGTACCATTTAGTAATCAGCAAACCCATAAGCTACTTTCCTGATTCAAAACACTGCCTAAATATCGTTTTTTAATTTTTCGAATTTTTTCCTAGGGGTACCCCTGCAAAATTTTGCGTTTTCCCAATTTTCCCACTTTTGCTCCTTCGGATGGCCATAGCTCTGCCAATTTGTATCCGATCGGGATATAATGTACCATTTAGTAATCAGCGAACCCAGAAGCTACTTTCCTAATTCAAAACATTGTCTAAATATCGTTTTTTAATTTTTCGAATTTTTCCTAGGGGTACCCCTGCAAAATTGTGCGTTTTCCCAATTTTCCCACTTTTGCTCCTTCGGATGGCCATAGATCTGCCAATTTGTATCCGATCAGGATATAATGTATCATTTAGTAATCAGCAAACCCATAAGCTACTTTCCTGATTCAAAACACTGCCTAAATATCGTTTTTTAATTTTTCGAATTTTTTCCTAGGGGTACCCCTGCAAAATTGTGCGTTTTCCCAATTTTCCCACTTTTGCTCCTTCGGATGGCCATATCTCTGCCAATTTGTAACCGATCAGGATGTAATGTACCATTTAGTAATCAGCAAACCCATAAGCTACTTTCCTGATTCAAAACACTGCCTAAATATCGTTTTTTAATTTTTCGAATTTTTCCTAGGGGTACCCCTGCAAAATTTTGCGTTTTCCCAATTTTCCCACTTGTGCTCCTTCGGATGGCCATAGCTCTGCCAATTTGTATCCGATCGGGATATAATGTACCATTTAGTAATCAGCGAACCCAGAAGCTACTTTCCTAATTCAAAACATTGTCTAAATATCGTTTTTTAATTTTTCGAATTTTTCCTAGGGGTACCCCTGCAAAATTTTGCGTTTTCCCAATTTTCCCACTTTTGCTCCTTCGGATGGCCATAGCTCTGCCAATTTGTATCCGATCGGGATATAATGTACCATTTAGTAATCAGCGAACCCAGAAGCTACTTTCCTAATTCAAAACATTGTCTAAATATCGTTTTTTAATTTTTCGAATTTTTTCCTAGGGGTACCCCTGCAAAATTGTGCGTTTTCCCAATTTTCCCACTTTTGCTCCTTCGGATGGCCATAGATCTGCCAATTTGTATCCGATCAGGATATAATGTATCATTTAGTAATCAGCAAACCCATAAGCTACTTTCCTGATTCAAAACACTGCCTAAATATCGTTTTTTAATTTTTCGAATTTTTTCCTAGGGGTACCCCTGCAAAATTTTGCGTTTTCCCAATTTTCCCACTTTTGCTCCTTCGGATGGCCATAGCTCTGCCAATTTGTATCCGATCGGGATATAATGTACCATTTAGTAATCAGCGAACCCAGAAGCTACTTTCCTAATTCAAAACATTGTCTAAATATCGTTTTTTAATTTTTCGAATTTTTTCCTAGGGGTACCCCTGCAAAATTGTGCGTTTTCCCAATTTTCCCACTTTTGCTCCTTCGGATGGCCATAGATCTGCCAATTTGTATCCGATCAGGATATAATGTATCATTTAGTAATCAGCAAACCCATAAGCTACTTTCCTGATTCAAAACACTGCCTAAATATCGTTTTTTAATTTTTCGAATTTTTTCCTAGGGGTACCCCTGCAAAATTTTGCGTTTTCCCAATTTTCCCACTTTTGCTCCTTCGGATGGCCATAGCTCTGCCAATTTGTATCCGATCGGGATATAATGTACCATTTAGTAATCAGCGAACCCAGAAGCTACTTTCCTAATTCAAAACATTGTCTAAATATCGTTTTTTAATTTTTCGAATTTTTCCTAGGGGTACCCCTGCAAAATTGTGCGTTTTCCCAATTTTCCCACTTTTGCTCCTTCGGATGGCCATAGATCTGCCAATTTGTATCCGATCAGGATATAATGTATCATTTAGTAATCAGCGAACCCAGAAGCTACTTTCCTGATTCAAAACACTGTCTAAATATCGTTTTTTAATTTTTCGAATTTTTTCCTAGGGGTACCCCTGCAAAATTGTGCGTTTTCCCAATTTTCCCACTTTTGCTCCTTCGGATGGCCATAGCTCTGCCAATTTGTATCCGATCAGGATATAATGTACCATTTAGTAATCCGCGAACCCAGAAGCTACCTTCCTGATTCAAAACACTGCCTAAATATCGTTTTTTAATTTTTTGTTTTAATATTTAAATAATTTGGGTTTGTCTGAATAGGTTTTTTTATATCGCGGTCATTTTCCAACCGATTGGGAAGCAAAGCAAAGACAACCATTCCTGAATCAGGACATTATTTTCCTTCGAACTGCATCATAGAATATTCGTAAAATCCTGATCCACATCGTAAATGGCGATGCTGATCCTTTTCTAAAATATGATATCCGGTCGAAATGTTGTTGTTGGATTTCGAAAATCCTTTGATGCAGATCGAAGGATGCTCATGTCCTGATTCCAAAATAATATTCCATTTTAAGATCGGTTGGAAAAGTCCCGAGATATAAGCAAATCCATTTATAGAAATATTTTTTTAAGCCAAATTTCTTTATTACTCCGTGTTAACTTGGCCAATACCAGATTTTGTTGGCCAGTTAAATGGGCCGTATTTTTCTGCATTTTATGACATCGCACAACCCGGGCTTAGATGCCAAATGGCCGAGTTATTCACAAAAAACAGTCAGAGATCGAACTTGGAACTTTTCAAAAAGCTTTGGCGGGCGGGAACTTTTTTGAATTTGAATTTAAATAAAACGGATCGTATGTTGGCGCGGGCGGGAAACTTATTTTTTGAATTTGAATTTGAATTTGAATTTAACGGATTTCGATCAACTTACAATCCACAAAAGTCCACATAGGATCCACACAGGTCCCACATAAGTTCCACACAGGTCCCACATAGGATCCACACAGGTCCCACATAAGTTCCACATAGGATCCACATACCACCAAAGACACGAACCGGCTCAGCCAAGACACCAACCAGTGGATCAAAGCTCAACCCGTGACGTCACGGACTTTCGAGGCTGAAAATTTTTAAGTTTCCGGCCGCTACCAGGCGCGGAGTACCAGGCGAACAGAAACAGGTAGTAGGTGGATTCCATTTTTTTAAACAGTTTTTTGTGAATAACTCGGTCATTTGGCACCTAAGCCCGGATTGTGGGATGTCATAAAATGCAGAAAAATACGGCCCATTTAACTGGCCAACAAAATCTGGTATTGGCCAAGTTAACACGGAGTAATAAAGAAATTTGGCTTAAAAAAATATTTCACTAAATGGATTGGCTTATATCTCGGGACTTTTCCAACCGATCTTAAAATGGAATATAATTTTGGAATCAGGACATGAACATCCTTCGATCTGCATCAAAGGATTTTCGAAATCCAACAACATAATGTCGAGCGAAAATCATTTTTAAGGAAAGGATCAGTATTGCCATTTCAGGATTTCATGAAGATCATTTGATGCAGTTCAAAGGACATTAAGGTCCTGATTCAGGAATGGTACTTTGCGTCCCGATCGGTTGGAAAATGACCGAGTTATAAACAAGCGAACTTTTAAAAATAAATATATAAAACAAATTGGTTAGCCACTCCGTGTTAACTTGGCTAATGCCCGACATTGTTAGCCAGGTAGATGGCCCGTATTTTCCCACTTTTTTTGAGCCATCACAATCCACGATTGGATGCCAAATGGCCGAGTTATTCACAAAAAACAGTTTCAAAAAACAGAATCCACCTACTATGCGTTTCTGTTCGCCTGGTACTCCGCGCCTGGTAGCGGGCCAAAATCCACTTTTTTCGGAGGCGAAAAAAAAAGTGCAAGTCATTCTGAAAAAAATTAAAAAATTCAAAAAAATGTCTGTTGTTGTTTTTGTTGTGTTTTTATTGTAGTTGTTTTTGTTGTTGTTGTTTTTGTTGTTGTTATTGTTGCTTTCCCTATATATTTCCCTTTATAAAAAACACCATAAAGTATTTTTTTAATTATTTATTTATTTCAATATTGTGTTTTCTTAGATCTATGAAAAAAATTGGCTTATGCATAAGGACTAAAGGTATCCTGGCCTTTCTATAAATACGTCAATAGAAGCAAATGCAGATAGATGAGTGTGTAACTGGTGTGATTGCGAGATGCACTTAAACTAGGACATTTTAAAAATATAACGTAAACGCGAGGACTTAAAGTACTTACATGCGAGAGAGAAAAAAATAAGGAGACCCCCGAAAATATTCACAGATAAGCTGACCGAAAAAAAAAAGGATATGGTATCATGGTGATCCTTAATAGCTAGGAGGTAGGATGTTTTGGCAAATGGCAGCCAAATCTTGAGACCAATCTTCGCGTTCAACGCAACAAGAGAAGCAGGACTTCGGAACAGCATCAGGATCAGAGTCCCTTCAAGCGGTGGCCACCTTGGCGGTGAAGGCGGCCAGCTGAGCCTTGAGAGCATCAATTTGGCACAACAGCTCGATGTTCTGGCGCTCGAGATAGGCAGCCCGGATGGCGATCTCGTCCTCCTTGATCCTGCGGCGATCGCGCGACTTCTTGGCAGCAGCGTTGTTCTTGCGCCGCCGCTCGTAGTAGGCGGCGTCCTTAACCTGTCCTCCAGAGCCGGAAGTGTTGACGGCGTTGGCTGCGTTGCCGCCAGTGGCTGCGGTGTTGGCCAAGATGGCAGTGGATGCGGAGCCATTGGACTTGCCCTCGAAGTTTCCAGCCTGGGAATCGCAATCGCTGGACTCCTCGGCCGCTGCCCGATCCTCGCTCTCGCTGTTATTGTTGGAGGAGCTGCCCTCGTTCACCGATCCGCTGCGGGAGTTGGTGCGTCGCATCTTTGGGTTGGTAACAGTGCGCTGTCCTCCGTTGGAGCTGCGGATTTGTTCCAGGACTCGCTTCCGGTACTCGGTGTATCGCTCCACTCGCGGATTGTCGAGCAGCACATCGGTGGCAGCAAAATTGGCAGCAATCACCAAGGGATCCCGGGGGAAGGCCTTGAAGGGGCGGGTGTTCTTGCTGGACTCCCCGCTGCTGCTGGTCGGCGTGGTGGTCTGGCTCTGGGCTGGGATCTGGGCTGGTGGCGATTGAGGATTCTCGAGGACATCGATCTGCATGGTGCTGGCGTTGCTGGCAGGACGAGGCGAGGCATTCGAGGAGGCGGCAGCAGCGGCTGCAGCAGCTGCCGAGGCTGCAGCGAAGGTCTGGAGCAAACTGGCGGTGGCAGTGGCCGAGGCTGTGGGCGTGGTCTTGGCAGCGCTGAGTGGCTCCTGCTTGATGTTGTTGTAGTAGAAGGCTGGGTACAGGGAGGCCAGCTGCTGTTGTTGCTGCTGCTGCTGTTGTTGTTGCTGTTGCACGTACAAGAGATTGCTGGTGGGCGAGGCCGAGGGAGAGCCACTGCCATAGCTGAAGCTGGTCTGGTAGGGAGATGGGGTCTTCCTGGGCGTCTCCACACTGTCACAGCGCCGGGAGAGATCCAACACCTCGGCGGAGGGAGCAGCCTGCTGCTGCTGCTGCTGTTGCTGTTGCAGCTGCAACAACTGTTGCTGGTAGGCGTAGGCGGCATAGAGGTCCATTTTGGGCAGGGCCAGGCTGGCGGGCTGCGGCTGCAATTGGCCGGGAGCCGGCAACTGGTGGTGGTGCAGCGGCTGTTGCTGCAACTGATGGTGGTGTTGGTGGTGCTGCTGCGGCTGGTATTGGTGGTGGTGCATCAAAGGCTTGCGATCTACACGGAGAGAAAACGATTCAGTTAATAAACCATATAGTAAGGGGGTGTCACCATTTAACTTACCAGTCTTCAGATCGAAGAACTGCCCAGCCATCAGTTTCTCGTGCATTAGCATGTTGAGGGATATGATTTGTTTTTAATTCGTAAATCCAAAGGTATCGGAGTTGGTTCAGAGCCAATGTATCTTGTATCTGCGGTGCGGTGTATCTGTATCTTTACGCTGACGATGTCGAACGCAAACTGATTTCCTCACCGCTGGACCGACCGCTTTTATACTCTGCCGCGCCGACGCTCCATTCAGAAGAAAAGGCAAATGGCGGACACGAGCGGCCAGCCGACGAATCGAGCAGGTAGCCCGAGGGCAAAGGGGTTGACATTCGCCCTGTCTCCCTCTAGTTTTCCGACCTCTCGCTTCCGCCATCTTGCTGCCCTCCGGCCCTCAAAGGGTTTTACGAGGGTGCGGTGCGGTGCGGTGCGGTGTGGTGCGGGTTGCTCTTTAGTTTTTCGCATTTTTCGCGAAAATCTTTATGCATTGTTTCATCGCCATTTAGCGTAATTTAAAAAAAGAGTTTTTGAACTTTTTTTTCGTCCATCTTCGTCCTGTTTGTGAGCGATTCTTCCGAAAGGATTGGTCTGGAGAAAAAGGATTCCTGGTTTCCGCGACGACCCTAATGAAATGGATTATGAAAAAAAGAAAATCATTAAAGAAGGTTGGGAAAATTCACGAAAAAATATAGCATGAGTTTTCTATTTTTAAAATAATAAAAGTAGGTTTCTAGAGTATGATATAGGGGTAACCTAAACTAAGTATTACTAGAGAACATAGGATATAAAGGATATAGCTTCTTAGATCTTAAATAAGAAAGTGATTTAAGGTCTTAGTTTTAAGCCAAAATGTGTAAGGACTATCGTAGTTATAGGTATATTTAAGTATAAGAAATAATAAAGCTATAGATGTCTTGAGATTTGAGATATCTGAGACTCAAATAAACCAATTCTTTTCATTGTATTTTAACTTTAACCCCTAATAGAACCTATTTAGAGTTAAAACCTCTATAAAACCCCTTTTAGACAAGTTCTATATACATATAAGATTACCCTAAACTCCCCCCACTATTTGAAGTCCTGGGGAATACCATGGGTTCTAGAACATTTCCCAACTTAAAGAGCCAGTTCCCAGCGCCTAGCTCGAATCAATTAGGCCAAATCATACTTCTGGCTATATCAGCGGGGAGGATATCGCTCCTACCCAGTCCCAGTCCCAGTCCCAATCCCATTCCCATTCCCAGTAAGTAACCGAAAGAGAAGGCCACATCGTTTAGATAGAGACAGTATGAGGTTTGTTGATGATGGATGCACAATGTTCAAGGGTTGCGAATCCTAAATCCGTTTGTTTGCGCTTTTGTCCCTAAAATCCTTTTGCTGACCAGCCCAGGCCATCCTTACAAATCTCCTTGGATGCTCAGGATACAGGATAACTGGCGAATTTCAGTTTTTGGCGGACAGCGACTTGCACAAAATTAGTGTGCGTGACAAATTATGGAAATTAGGCCGAGTCGGGGTCTCAGTCTCAGTCTCAGGCTCAGCCCTTTTTCGCTGCCGTAATTCGGATTCCGCTAATGGAGAACGTTGCTTCTTGGAAAGCCAGAGTCTGGGTCTGGGATGTCCTGTGCTGCCCTGGCAAGGACACTCATCGATTCATGACGCCGCCAAACATCATGGGATAGAGGAGAGATCAAATCATTGCGACAAGTGTCCGTGATGTTTGTTCTCAATAGTCCTTCCGCTGCGGCGTGGGATCCTTAAAGGCTTGTTTAACCTTTGACCCAACTAACTGTTTGCCTAACTGTTCTTCAAACGAACCACTTCCGTTGGCTTAGCCACTCTGGGAAGAGCATACTTGGAGTGGAGTATCCTTGCCATAAACAATTCATTCACTCACTTTTTACAGCCCACTCCCCATTGAGAGCCATGGTCAGTATGGTGGCTTGGCTTGGAAATAAAAAGAAGGATCGCTCCCAGTAATCAGTAAAAAAAACCGCGAACTTATCCGCTAATCCGTGCGCTAATCCAACCGTAAAAATGGTGGATTAAACTAAAATTCCGCCTGATCCTCGCGCACCCACAACCAAAAACCAAGCCGATGCCTCTGTCTGTCCTGCCATTGAGTGGCTCTCGTACCTGAGTGCTGCAGATCCTAGATCCTCGATGCCATGCCAGATGCCATAAAAAGTCGCAAAGCCAAAGAGTTGCCGAATTCGGTGTAAAAACCAGATTCAACGAAAAAAAGCAAGAAACCTCATAAACATTGAAACTTCAACGGCTGTTGCTTTTAATGAGCTCGCTCGCTCCCGCCGGTCCAAAGATGCAATATTTGTGCAATCCTTTTTTTTAAAAAACCGTCACATCCTTGGCCGTCCTTGGGCGCATTTTTTACGGAATCAGGTAGGTGGCAGACGACAGACGAACGGGTTGGCCATAAACCACACTCACTTACTCACTCTCTCTACAATATATGAGGGCTATAACCGTGGTATTGCCTAAAAAACGGGGATACTATTTTTATTGCATAATGGACTGGACTACACACTGGACAGGGGACAGGGGACAGTGGACAGTGGACAGTGGACACTTCGTGTGAAATGTGTAGTGTAGCGAGCAGGTCATAATAGATGCAGTTTTTTAAGAGGCATCCCGATCATAAAACATACCCAGAGTCCGTACAAGACATTCCGCAAAAAAAAAAAAAGGGAAAGAAAAGAAAAGGGTTCTCCCTCAACGCCCATTGTGGCGGCCCACTCTGCCTGGTCCGTGGGCGACATAAAGAAAATCAGCGACTAATTGACTGAAAGGGGTTTCTCATTTATGGCCCGAATGAATAAAAAAAGGGTGATAGTGTCCTGGCTTCTTGGAATCACCGTTAACTCCTTTCGCCAGCCCTTTGTACTAATGGGTTAATTTTGGGTATACTTTTTACCAATCCCTCGGTCTGTTCGCCATTTTTGTTTTTTTTTTGACTCAACATTTCGGTATAATCTTTATAGAATTGTCGAATAATTCCGGAAGCCTGTAAGAAACAAAGAAATGAGATTACTTTCAAATATACATGATTAGTCGATGGCCGTCTAATGCCTGTGGGATGCTAATGAGGAAGTAAGTGGACCGGCCAGCCATCAGCCATCAAGGAAGTGAACACCGAAAGGGGGATTACACGTGCTCCTCGACCGGACAAAGGTCGAGGCTCTTCAGAAGACTCTTCTGCCTCAAAAAAAAAAAAAAAAAGACTAGCCTGTAGTATCCTGTAGTCCTTAGCCCGATCACTTGTTTGTTTTCGTTGGCAAAATATGCAAAAACTATAGAGAAACAGGTATTCGCATGCGGATTAGTTTTTAGCCACTTCCTGCAAAACGGAAGTGCAGAAAGTAAATAGAAAAATGGGAAAATGTACAAATATTAAAGACCAAATGGCAAATGGCCAGAAAAAAAGGATCCTCCAGACGAGAGACTAAAAAGACACACAAGTTAAGTACCAAAATGATGAACACCAGCACCAGCACCAGCACCAGGTCTAGCTTCCGTCGTCAAATCCTTTGGCTAATTGTTATCCTATGGCGTGGCTCCTAATCCCAGATTTTAGATTCCATATCCTAGATTCCAGATCCGGCCTAGGTCGCTGCTCAATTATGGCATCTCATTAATTGAGAGAGGAAGACATCCACCACTTCATTCATAGTCTCACTGATCGCCGAACCATAAAGATCTGCTCGAGATTTTCGTATTGCATTTCTTTTTGGCCAAATTAGTGCGGTTTTTGATTACCAGACAGAGTCCAATGGGGATTATATCTCACCCAGAATGACAATCTTCAAGAAATGGAAACAAAGAAATCACTATTTGGGTTTGGCGACTCAATGTCTCATCAACTAAATGGGAAAACTTTCTAATCGCAAGTTTGTTTTTTCCACAAAATCAACCCAAATATTGATCTGTAAAGAGTTGTTGTGCGATAAGCTGGGAAGAGTTCAAGGCTCTGACATCACAAGATTGTAGTGATGGGCATACTGCTGGGGGGGGGTCTTCCATTCCAACAATCGTATAATGCTCGTCAAATCGCCAAACAAAAGTCTCAATGGCCCGAGTGGTATTTAAATGGGCAGATCTAACTGGCTACTTCCTTACGCCCTGGCCATCCTTGGAGGATCCTTGCCATGAAAAGGGATATGGTATGGTGTGTGTCCGGTCTACGCCCATCTTTTTTGGGAAAATGCAAGAAAAACGACGCATTTCATGGCACTGAGAGAAAGTAATTGGGTTTTAACTTCTTTGAAGAACAGAGAACTAAACCTATTTCCCTCAGTGTATTTTCATAACTCTCATGCGGCATACAACTCCCATTTTGCATGCATCATTCGTGATGATGAACTGTCAACGTTTAGGCCATTGTTCCCACAGATCACCGATCACCGATCACCCATCACCGATCTCTTGTGTGGCATATAGCTGTCACATATTATAGATTCTTTGTGAACCACCATAGAGTACAGTTATGTCCGAGACAATTCTAATAACTCTACGCTAGGAACCAGAAGAACCCTCACATTTTTAATAATCCCCCTTTCATTGCTCACTTAATTTTATGCATTTTAATGTTGATTAGCTGGCATATATCTGTGGCATTGTCAGCGTGGATTTTCCGGGGAGATCCGTTAGAGAGAACTGGAGTTCCGAGGCGTGAAGTTAATCAACAGAACCCACATAAAAAGAGTTATGAGCTACCGTTTTTGAATGCGAATGCGAAAGGAGGATCCGATTTTCGTGGAGGATCGCACTCGATCCATCAAGCGGTTGGCTCTTCAAAAATGTTCACACCTTTTGCTGGGAAATGGGAAATGTCCTTTTTGTTCGATTCATTGTTTCGATTGTTCGATTTCGGGGCAAAGCCGCCTACAAAACCCCGTTAGAATGGCCCCTGGCCCTAAACACTCCCGTTACCCGTTACCCATTACCAGTTATCCGTTATCCGTTACCCATTCCCATTGTTTTGTTGGCCAACAACAATTGCTGTCAAAATGGTCCTCGTTCTCGTTCTCGTTCTGGTCCTAATAATTGTGACAATTGTCAGTTCGCACCATCACTATATCTGGTATCTGGGTATCTGGCAGATACTATCAATAGGCAGATTGAAATCCGGAACCGAAAAAAAAAAGGTGCTAAGCCCAACTCTTTCCTGGGAGCCAGGACCTCCTGACTCCTGGCCACTCGTAATATGAGCATTCCATCCAACTGAAAAATCTTCGTCCTGGCTACGCCCATTGTATCCGAGTTCCGTATCCGGATTCTGATTCCCATTCCCATTCC